CCCCCCCCCAAGGCTGTCCCCCTCTGCCAACCACCTGGTCGAGCCCCCCTGGGTGGCCACCCTGATCCTGGTCGGGTCCCTGGTCGCCGTCAGCGAGCTCCTGGCCCCCCCCGCAGGGGAGGAAGAGGAGAAGGAGGAGATGCCTGGGCCCCCCCCCTCCCAGCACAGCACCTCCTTGGGGGGGGTCGGGGCAAGACCCCCAGCGCAGCACCCACTGCTAGAAGAAACAAACCATCGCTTTATTGAAGGCAGCACCGTCCCGGGGGTGGGGGGCACACAGCTGCTCCCCCCCACCCCAAATTCTGCCCAAAAAAGGCGGGGTGGCCTACGAGCCCCCCCTGCCCGCCCCCCACCATGGGGACATGTCCACCCCAAACACCCCTTTAAATACTTAAAAAAAACCCCCACCAAACCAATGCAAAACCCCTGCCCCAAACCACAGAGAAACAGGTGGTGATAAAATAAAGGGGGGGGACACCCCAAAAGGGTGGAGGGGCCTCCCCCCCCGCTTTAAACGATCATTTCCAGTTGCCGCGCGTATTCAATGACCTGCTTGGCCAGTTCGGTGGATGGGATGGTGGCATCCTCCAGCTTCTGCTGCCGGCTGCTAAAGCTGTAGTAGTTGTTGGGACCCAACACCCAACCGCGCTGGAAAGAGTTAAAGGGGGGGGGGGGCGTTTAGGGGCACCCCCAGGTTTTTGGGGACCCCCCCTCAGAGAGGGAGAACCCCTCAAGGTACCTTCTTGGCATAGTCGGTCATTTTCTTGGCGGTGGTGAAGAAGAGGATGCGGGTGGCTTCGTTAAAAAGGATTTTCTCATAAGCTTTCTCGATGCAGCCGGCGATCTCGTCCCTGGTTTGGCGGGGGGGGCATACAGTCAGGGGTGGGGCACATGGGGGGGTTCAGGGGCACAATAAGGTGGGTGGGGGGCTCACCGGATGGTATCCAGCAGGATATCAATGAAGAAGGTGTAGCTTTCCGCTGGGATGTTGCCTTTTGCCAGGAAGACTTTGTTGTAGCTGCCCTCCATCAAATACTATGGGAGAGAAAGAAGGTTGCACCCCAAGGACCCCTAAAAAACTCCCCCCCCATCCCCAAGAAACCCAAAAAACCCCCCCCGGGGGCGTACCTGCTCGAGGGAGACGGGGTGTTTGATGTAGACGTTGCTCTGGATCTCCTTGGCCGGCAGCCGCTCCAGCTCGGTGTGAAACTCGGCCACCCGGTTTTGGGACAGCAAGAAGAGCAGGTTCAACCCCAGCAGCTGGTGCTTGTAGGCCGACTCCGGCAGCTCCTCCCTTGGTGGGGGGGCAAGAAA